GTCCAACTGCATTTATTTATATATTTCTAAGGATTCTTTAAATAGGATATATGTGATATATGTTTCCAGCGTACACATTGAAAACTTACATTTTCTACTGTCTGTCTTTTTCATTCAATATTACATGTTAGATACGACTATTCTAACTGATAAATGTTATGCAGAAAAAAAAAACATTCAGAACCATAACTGAACATGGTGCTCTTTTTATACCCACAATCCCAACCTGCAATTAAACACTAAAACTGTCAGACGCATGTCAGATAAAGCTGTTAAGCCGCTTTAAAATATTTCCTGTAAGCCTCTCTGCTTTGCTGACAGATGTGGCATATTTCATGTCCCATTAGCATCCAACATCTGTCCACCGGAGTAAATGAAACCAGGTTAACTTCATGTGCAGGTGTAATATATCACTGAAAAACTGTCCTGACAGTTCATGCCATGGAATGATAGGAAGAAAAGAGCAGGATTATAGGTCTGCTGTACATCCGTCAACATGCTCAAGCAGTGACAGAAAGCCTGTGCTCATCTCTTTAGGAGGGAAAAGTGTTGGTGACTGAAGTAGAGGACATTCCAGGCAGCATCCCTGTGACAAAAAGGACAGGAGGAGAGAAGGAGGGGGACAGATCATACTCCCAGGGGTGCTCCAAGCATATCAGCAGGCAGGTTTTTGTTGCTCATTTTAAACATACTTAAAGGTGTTAAGGTAAGGTTAAGCAATCTCTTTTCTGCAATAAGCTGTCAGGGTAAGTCGTGGGGGTTCAGATGGAGCTGTGTGCTCCTCTGTGCAAGTAAAAACCACCGTGTAAGTGAGAAGGAGGCCGGGGGAGCAGGTGAGTTGGTGAGAAAACAGACACAAGCCCAAAGGAGCAGGTTTCAGGCTGCTTCACTTCCAGTTCAATCACATCCATCAGTGTTTAACCATGACCATCAGCAGAGCTCAGGACATCTTCCTTTCTTAATCTTATACTAGTCATGAATATTTTCTTTCATTAGAACAGTGAGCTTAGGCGGGAGTCAAATGTTTACAGCCAATGTTTTCTAAAATTTTGAAGAACACAAAATGTAACCAACTTTAATTTCCCCATATATTTTGTTTTTACTACTAAAATAACTTATTTTAAATGAATATATGTTAATATGGTTTTATCTATAGAGGCATCTTCTCTCAACATCCTGGAAACTTCAATCACGTCTGGCCGTTCCAACATCCATGAACTAACAGTATAATCAAAGCTGATTTTCTAAAGTTAAAATAAACGTGTTTCTGCTGGTCGGTACACTGCTGCTAAAATTCAATGTCGGAAATATTGTATGCAGGTGAGGATTGTCATCATCCAGGTCACGTGGTATGTCACCACATGGCCAGAGCCAGTTTAAGTGTGAGTGGATTGGGTTGCCTTAAAGGTGGAGCGATACCGGTGGAGCGATACAGGCTAGAAATATTCGTTTCTCCTCCACACATCGCCTGGACTCTTTAACCAAACTCTTTGAGAGAGGCTGGACTCTCTTCTATGAGATTTTACAAGCAGTTACCTTCATTGTTCAACTCCAACTCTCAGCTATAAAACTGAATAATTTCCACCTACTCCTGATCTTTATGCAGAAATTAAAGCCTTATGATGGATACAGTATATGGTGTTAAGGATGTTTTCTTTGGCCAGTTTGTTACCACAAAAAACAATAAATAAAAGGAGGGGACTAAGATGAACTTGATGGAACTGAAAGTGAATGCACCATCACCTCATGCTCAAGAATACCTGACAGTTGCTGCTGCTGCCACCGTTGCTCTCTAAAACAGTCCAACATGAGCCGGAGCCGGGCGGGATGGGGTGAGATGGAGAAGCAAGATGGTTTCAGTTTAAGCTGAGTGCTGCATTTAAAGCTGATGAACCAAACACACATTGTCTTGGAAAACAAATATTGACTGTAGAGATAGCACCGCCATTGGTGTTTCAGAGTTACACTGAGCAACAGGTTTTATTGTTTTCATTCATGACGATGGTGACACCTCACAAGATCACTTCATGTCCACTAAAAGTTCGTCTAGTGATTGATGGGTGGAAAGAAATGGATGAGACCAAATGAGCTCAACACGTTCGCTTAATGAAGCAGTTTCTAAGGTTTCTGCCAGTACACCATGCCAGGAAGAAACTCCTTAACTTTGACCTTTACTTTTATTGACTGATGTCACATTTGCAAAGACTTGTTTGCTTGGCATATACAACTGAAAGCACATGATTTTACACAAACAATGAAATCAGACACTCTACCTCTTAATTAATTAGAATAAACACTTTATCATTTTTTTTGATCGGTTAGGATTGGCTAATTATTTCTTTTATAAAATGCCAGAATAATGAGAGGAAGAGTTCCTAGCAGTGATAGGTAAGTTTAACGGTTAACAAGCATTTGATTAGTGCTTTTATCAGGATAATACAATTTAAAACTGGATACCAAGGAAGAGAATTGATACTCAAAAACTGCTTTTGATTCCACAGGGATCCAAATAGTTAAAGGCATACAAAATGTGTTTTTACATGAAAATCTCACAACTTTCAATCTCCACATGCAACATGCTTTCTCAAAAGAGCCCCAGATGCTATTTAAATAAGTTTACACTTAAATGCTAATCAGATTATCCAAAACATTGTGCAATTCGACAACTTTTTAAGGTTTCCCAATATGCAGAAATCTCCAATTAACCATAGAAAAATATGCCAAAATTCCTCGTCTTTTGTATCGATACTTTTCCAAATGAGTATTACATCCAAATACAACTTTTGAGTACCAATAATTTTTATAGTATCAATATTCAATAATCAATAATATTTTTTAAACTTGATTCACTTCCTTTAACGATCTTCCTATAAGTATCTCACAATAGTTAGCTTGTTGACCCATTCATCCCCACATAACTGGGATTAGGTTTTTGTCAGAACCTCCAAAATATTAAGACACTTGTTCTTTAACTATTTTGCTATTAATCTAATGAGCTTAAAGAGACCCAGGCGCGCATTTTGCACAAAGCAAAAACACACAAAAAAACAAATGCTCATGTGAAAAAACCTACTATGCCTCCTGACAGTGTTTAGTTAGTCCTTTTTGAGCTTAAAAGTCATTTTTGATCTGGGTGGGACCAGTTAAGATGAACATTGTTGTACTCTCTTCCCGTCTGCTGGCAGTTCTTACTTAAACTGACCACCCAGACCAATACAGTAGTAGCCATTCAAACATTTTTTTTATTCTTTCTCTCATGATTTGTGGACGTTAAACATCTACAGAGAAGCGCCATCTAAAGGTCAGACCATGTAATTCAGTGAAAGGGTGGAGTCAGGGTAAAAAAAATATGCAAGATGGGGTCAATTCAGTGGCTGGAAGTATGAGGGAGTTGCAGGGAAGTGGGCTGCCATTCGGCTGGTGTTTTGGGAAAGGCCATTTTGAATGGCTGCTACTGTTGGCTGCATATCTTATACATATTTACTGTAATAACGCTGTAATATCATGGAAATTTCTGGTATAAGCATAACTCCCGTGCTGTGATTGGTCCAATTTTAAACTAGATGTCAGTCCGTCTGACGTGGCTAGCACTTAATAACACAACCATCACATTAGCAGCTTAACTCCAGTCACAGTGGATGCTGTGCGACTGTGGTGTGGTCACCACAAGGAAGGCAAATCATTAAAATCGAAATGGAAACTCACATCGATTTTAATGTGGCTGGGCACAGTGTTCAGTGAGAGTGTTTTTTTTGTAAAACCACAGCCATTGTCACTTTGACCTTGGGGTCCCCTCTCACTTCAATCAACATAAATGTTTATATCATATTCTGACCGATACTCGTCTCTTATCTGTCTTGGTGTCCAAAAAGGGCTTCAAGAGCTGAGATATCGGCACAGAAATGTAAAATCTTATTAAAATATTTTTTAAAGTAAAGAAAATATATTTTATTATATACTATTTATATTTAATTGTTTTTAGTTTATTCTTACAAATTGTATTCATTAAATTTATTATGTTTTATTTTTTCAAATGCTACATTTTAAAAAATTTTCAAATTTTACTAATTAAGTGATTTTTATATTGCATTTTCTAGCTTGTCAGGAAATTAGCAAAAATATTTTGATTGGTCAAAAACTTGTTTGGGCTTGAAGGGAGTAGAATGTGATCTGTAAAATGTAAATTTCCATAGAATGCAATTTGTAAACCTAAATTTAAAGACTAGAAATAAACAGTTTTAAGGAATAAACATAAAAAAGTGAAAGATGACAAAAATTTTATTAAAAAAAGATATTTTGAAAAGATATAATTGGAGAAAACAGCAAACAATATAGCTTCATATCTGGGTTTTCTATCAACAGAATGTGTTTTTTTGGTCTTCTTTACAATTTCTATTTATAAAGCGTCCAACAATAAATGAAAATTCTCTCTTCCCTTAAGATTACTGTTCATTTAAAAGAACAGAAAAAGCGTGGAAGAAGACACTCTCTACCGATTTCAGTCTTTGCTGTGTTCTGTTGTGAAGGAAACTTTTAGACTGCATTAAGTTGACTTAACTGAAGTCAAATTTTAAATTCCCCTCCAAAAAAGTGATTTAAGTTATCAAGTATTTGTTTAGGATTAGTATAAAAAAGTGAAGAGAACCAAATTCTGCTCACTAAATGTCTTTTAATAACCTGAATATTGAGTTTTACCGTGCAGATGCAAAAACATTGTATCAACACCCAAGATATCCCACACTGTATTACAACAGAGTAATCTGTGTATGTAAACTTCTGGTGTTTCTTTTTCATTATTCTGGCATTTAATCCCTGCTAGATTTTCTGTTTTGTTTTCCAAATGATCTTTAAAGTGTCTGAAGATACTTAGTTTTTGAATTATCTGATATGCTATCATTTAACAATATATGAACACACTAAAGTGAAAACAGTTTCAGAATTTCCTTTTGTATAGTACCTCCAAAATGAATATCACAGATATAAAAAAGTAAGGATTGTACCTTTAAGTGATTCCACTGTTAAGATCTAATAGAGGGATATTTCCAGGTTCCACACACTGCAGCACCCACATGACACATGGGACAGGAATCCGGAGTGATTAATAACAGCATTGTTAGACATAGAGAGGAGAACTGTGCGGATTATCATCATCATCATCACAGAATAAACAGACAATTTTAGCAGAAATATAAACAAAATGAAAAAAATAAATAAAAATCTTTCACTGTACAGAACAAAACCATTGACATTTTAAGAAGATTAAGCAAATAAATTAATATTTCCTGTCATTGCTGGTGGTGCTTGTCAATGAAGTAAAGAATCAAATTCTCTTAATATCACATGCATTAGCAGTAGTGGATGGAAAAGAAAGCTGTTCTACCCTGACTAAACTTGCACACACACAGAGGAAATAGCATGTGATTGCAAGAGAAATGGTTACTTTATTCAGAGATTTGCACACTTTCCTTCGGAGCCGGAGAACCAAACCAAACCTGTTTGTAGAGTGGTGGCAGATGTCACCATCCAAGTTTTTCCTCTTCAAACACTTAGATTACTCAGCAAGGTTTCCAAACCTTCACAGTTCAACATTAATAATGTACCTCCACATCAAAGGAATGTGTTAGTAGGTCACACCACCCGCCCTGCCCTGTGCTTACCAGTAGAGATAGTAGAAGAAGGACAGGACAAAGAAGGACAGCTTGCACCACGCCTCCTTTTGGCAGAACTTGAGCGTGTCGCCGTTCATCACAGATGCTGGGTCATAGATGAGCTCCTTAGTGTCCGTTGGGGAATGGAAGTACCTGCCGCAGAGGGCAAAGACCACACCCCGGGTAGTTGACCCGTTCCAGAGCACAAGGAATGGTGTTGGTGGGATAGATGGGACAGGGGTTGGGAGGGAAACGGGGAGGAAGACAGTGTGGAAGACATGGAATGAAGAATCTGGTGGAATGTCATCATGCATGTAATGACAAAAACAGTGCATGGTGGAAAGGAAGTATTGACAATGGAATGGTAATCATTTAGGTTTTCAGTAATGATTAAATTGATGATGCCCAGCCAGACATGGGCAATGTGGAGTCAACAAGTCGTCTCCATGTCATGTATTTGTTCTACCCAGCCAATTAACCAGGTGAGTCCAATCTGCACAGGTTAATTCACGGTGAAGATTGGACTCACCTGCTTCAGTGGCTGGGTAGAACAAATACATGACATGGAGATGACTTGTTGACTCCATATTGCCCATGTCTGTGCCCAGCTTAGGACAAGTTATTTTTCACATTCACCTCAGTGGTTTTGGACATCAAGTGTTTCTCCCCTAAATCAGGCTCAGGTAGCATCTATTCACACAAAGTCTATGTGAGCAATCACGTTAAAACTAATAGTTTGTTTGATTTTACTCATACCATGCTGAGTAGAACAACTCTTTTCAGTAGACCAACTAGACATAATTATGCCAAAAGAAAAATATGCTGGCATAAAATCAAACAATTTAGAGCAATATCTGAACAGTGACATCCGTGTGAAGATGATTGTATCAATTCTATCTTAAAATGGATGTTCTTCAACTACTGGGACTGAGTTCTGTGCAGTGTGACGTAGATAATCGCTTCAGTTCACTGTCAAGCTTTTAGAATGCTGAGTTGAGTGAACCTTTATATACTGGCAGAATGTTCCTGCGTGGTGAAGCACCAGAAGGGATCTTGTTTTTGAGTCATTTTGAGTCACAGTGGGGTTGATGCTTTCGCAGGAGTTATAGGCGTCTGGCACTCCTGTCTGGTCACTGAACGCTGTATACTATACTGTAAAGTATATTTTATCTCCCTAAGTTGAACAACACTGTATGATCTAAAAAAAAGTGACAAATAAGCAAATTCTACAATTAATTAATAATGCTGCCCATAAAATATCTTCTTGTTAATGGGTCAATAACACAGCCAACTGTGAAATATTAATACGAATCTGTGCTTTCAGATTAATTAACCGCTTTTAGATTCCGATGACATATATATCCATATACATATATCAGCAGTGGAGGGCAAAACCTGGAAGCCTGTAAGTTGAAGAAAAGTGTTGAATAAAGTCTGCAGGGACTTCGTTTGGATGGCATTCAATTGGCATTGATCTTTGAGTTTCTTTTAAGCTCACAGGGATTTAAATGAACATGAACCATTCTGGTCAAAGGGACCATGGAGTTGGTGGAATGCCTCATGATTTCACGCTTCTGAAACACATTTATATGTAGTTTCCAGAATAAAATTCTAATTCACTTAAATTTTAAGATTGAATAGTGAAAATGTATTTTTGTAACACTCAGATTTTATCTAAGTTTGTAAAACTTTTTCTAACACCAGAATCTTATTGAGCAAAACATCACCAACATCACTATTCTCAAGGTTGGTTTGGGAGCTTGATTTATATTAACGATGACTTTCAAGTTGATATTGTACCGTGTTTGCCTGCAGGTAAGTAACTCACATTGAAACCAAGGTCCAGTCGTGAGGCTCTTTATATATGCAATTCAAAAAAACTAGGAAATGTTTGTTCACTTATATATATTATAGTATAAAAGCTTTCTCAAGCAGTTGGTGATGCATTTTGGAATCAGGAGATGAGCCCCTGGCTTGAGAAACCTGTTCAAAGACTTATTTTTCTTATTATTTAGTAGCACACACATATCATCTTTAACTTATTTTATGCTTACCCTCATCTCATTTTATTCTTATCCTATTGTATTTGTACGAAAACTCAATGGAGCCATTTTGATGTACTGCAGATTAATCTACATTAATTCCAAGATATATATTAAATTTTATATATATATATATATATATATATATTTTTTTTTTATTTATTTATTTATTTTTTAATTATTCAAATTTGTAGAAAACTGAACCTCACATTGCCAACAAAAGCTGTAGGGCACAATATTGCCACAGCAATCTTCATTAGAGCCATCACATTCCAATGAGATCAATTCCAGCAGGGCTGTTTAAATTGTAAGACAAAATGTGCCAAGTGGGAAATTACAGAAGAAGAGGGAATTGCTACTTTTGCATGTTGCTTAGGGAAAGAGACCTTCTAATTGCTAAACACACAATTACTACTTCACTAAATTTGTAGTTATTTCATTTGACAGCTGATTCAAGTAAAAGAGATTCTAATAAAATGCATAATTCTGTCAACACAGAAGAAGAAGCGTGTAATAAGCACACTATTATTGTGGTTATTTATCAATCACTAATTGTTTTAAGTACTGCACCTGTACCTGCACTAAATTTCAAGCAATAAGCTTTCAAGATACAATTAGACTCATGTCTGTTTTTAATGTATAGTAACTCAAGTTAAATGTCTACAGCATAAATAGAGTTTAATCGATAACAATGTCCATGCATATTTTATGTTCTCTTGTCAGAGTTTTTTGCACCCTCAAGCAGACATGAAATGTCAGACATTATGCTGTATGATACATTGTTATGAAAATGTTCAGTGATGTACATCCCATGTATTCCTACATAAAATACATGCAAAATGACTGATGAAGAGGCAGAAGAGGTAAACGGGTGAACAACATTTGCAACAAGCTGCTTAAATTAGGTTATACATCAAAATAACTTTTGGCATAGCAGAAGAAGAGAACAATATGATCAAACATTTTAGAAATAACCCCACTAAGAACAGTGAACAAGATCATTTCATAAACAACAATTTTATACTAAATTATATTGGAATCTCAATAATTGTCTCCAGAGAACTAAGTCAAATGTGGTGAAACTAGTCTGGTATAAACTATTCCATTAAATGTATCATTAGTCCAATCTTGCCATGCAGGTCTACTAAGTTACAAGAAAGTCTAACACTTTGTGTATCATATAAAGTAGCAAATATTAAGTATAGATGGTTCACTCGGCTCCTCTGATGACATGTTGCTGCTTCTTACTCTGGCATACAAATATACAAAGATGTGAGAGTGCCCAAAAAATATAGGTTATGACACCTTGGTCTAAAGATGCTACTCAGCAGCTGACTAGCAATTGGATATTTTTTGGTACAATGACAATGAGGTATTCTTGGCTACATCTGACACAGTGTCAATGCTGTCACAGTGGACAGGGACATCCTGGTGTTTCCCAACCAGAAGCTCTGAATGTACAGGGAGCTCAAGGAACTGCTGAATCACAAGCAGAGCCCTACTCTACCATCCGTCCTGCCACAGACAGACCATCACTGTACAGGTACTGGAAGTGTTGAGAACCCTGAAGGACGTGAACCCCTGAAAAACTGCTGGACCTGATTGTGTGACAGGGAGGGAGCTGAGGGACTATGCAGACCAGGTAGCTGGGGTTTTTAACCACCATATTTAGTAGTGATTAACACAGTATTCCAGCCCTCCATGGTTAAAGCCATCCACTATCACCCCTTTGCTCAAAAAACAAAGGCACTGTGACTACCACCAGTTGCGCTTACCCCCATATGTATCAGAAAGTGCCTTGAGAAATGGGTTCGGAGTCACATCACTTCACATCTGCCACCCAGCCTCCTCCTGCACCAGTTGGTCTACAGAACCAATCAGTCTACAGGGCATGCCATCTCGGTTGCTCGGCACACCACATTGAGACATGTGAAGCGAAATGGAAGCTATGCGAGACTGCACTTCCTTGACTTTAACTCGGCTTTTAACATAATCATTCTAAGTTGGTTTGTGAGCAAGCTGGAGAAACCTGGGTCTCTCCCAAAACATCTCCAGCTGAATCATGGAGTTCCAGATAAATCACTCCCAAAGGGTGATAGTAGGATCCAAGCTGTCAGTGGATCTGGCCACTACATTTCCAAGAATGATGTCTATCAATTTAGGCTGCTCTGGTTATTTATCAAATTCAAGGGATCTTGGCTCAGTTAAAGAGGCCTCTTGCCTGATACGGTTGAGGAAAGGTCCTAGAAAAAGATTTTTCAACAACAAAACAACCCCACACACTGCAGGATGCTGGAGCATATTTTGTACCAGACTAAAAAGGTAAATTACATATTAAGGACTTTAAAGAACTAAAAGACAATATAGAGAACATCAATAAACTTAGGATACCATTATCAGTAAACTGAGAAGCTTGTTCAATGACAACTCTGTGGCTTGACAAGCATAATACCAATAGATCTAATAATTCCTCTTGCCTTACTATCAGACTGATCAGCTCTACTCTCGGTACACTCTATCTAGGTATCTACTTTGAGAATCTATATTTTGTGAAAAGCTATGATGCCAAACTCATAGAAACAGCAATACAGAGGTGAAGGGGTAGTTTTTAGATTGAAGTGGAGAAGAGTAGAATGCCTTATAATCCCTAGAAGATGGATCATACAACACCAAACCCAAAGGTTTTCTACTCATCCAAATACACACAAATTGTACAACTGTTCTTTGATGTTGCAAAACAAAGTTCTGCTTAGATATGTTAAGAACAAGGAGATAGAGACCCCATGAATGGTCTGGGAGAACAAAATGATGTTATTTTGTCCTCACGGCTTTGAGAGGGAGAAAACAAAAGCTTGTAGAGTGTATAACAACCTTTACAAGAGAACAGAGAATGGAGGGCAGTACAAGAGGTAGTAGTCTGGATCTTCTTATGATATACTTTATCTAAGTCATCTACTCTAAATCTAGTCTAATCTCTAGCCAATCAAATCCCTGGGCCTTAATACAAGTTCTTTCAGAATAACAGCAGGAATGTAGCCTTTTCCGAGGTCTCAGAAATTCCAAGAGGAGAGGTAGCAACATACCTCGACCCACCTCTATCTAGACTTTGCAGGTAATTTTATACATGTTCGCTGGATGTGGCTTCAGTTCTTGCTTCGTGGACCTTTGAGAAAGCTGGAAGAGCAGATCGACCTTGCAGCTGTATCTCAAAGTACTAATCTGAATATAGCATCAAGTTTCGGATTTTATCTTATTTTTCTATTAAGAACTGTTCTTTGGAACAAAACCTTATAATAAACATTTGCAGGTGTCGGGCACAGATATACAACCCCGGATATACAACCTCTAAATATGCTACCCTCGATCTGAGAATTGTCTTGTCGATGTTGCCTCTCTCCCACATCAAGCTTTCTATCTTTTCGTCTGCTGATGCCCCTCGCTCGTATCATGCCTTCCTTGGTCTCCGCCTTCCAGCCTCCATTTTTCTTTACTATTCTCCTCTCTTCTCCCAGCTGCTGCATCTGTAGCCAGTGGGTATCTGGCACAGTTTGCAGTTAATGAGACAGCAAGATGTTTTCCTCTCCTCATGTTTTATTTTATTTTATTTTTTTGTCTGAGTCTCAACTAGTGGAGCACATGAGCTTTAATCAATCAGACTTCCAGTAGCGCTTGTCTAACCCCCTGACCAATGGAGATGGACACAGATAAAGAGGGAGCATCACACATATGGAAATCATAGCTGTTTAGTTTGTAAATTGACATTTTCAACGTCTAACAATGTCAGCTCATTTCAATTCTTTAACTGTCCTCAAAAATAATGTGGAAACAGTAGGCAGACCTTAACCACAGTGTCTGAAGGTAATCCAGAGAATTTAATTATGCTAATGCTGTGTTACCAAGAAAAACACAGTGCCCTGCTGATACCTCTTGAATTTTTTTTTACCCTTTCTTACACGTCAGAACCAAACATTTGTATTTAATTGGAAATTTACTAGACAGAGTAGTGCACTAGTAAGTGGAGTAGGAGGAAATGGATTTTCATGTCTCCCAGGGTTTAACAACTTTGGACATTTAAAGGTTGAATATTTTGGTCTATTCTGTTTGCATTAAAGCTCCAGCTCATTCAGAGTGGGTGAACGGAGCACATGGAAATTTATCTTCAAGTATTGCCACAGATTCTAAACTGGACTTTAACAGGGTCATTCTTAACACAACGATATGATTTGATTGTCTAATTATGTTAAATACAGCAAACCTACTGTAGGGTCGCTGTTGTGCGTGAAGGTGACCTCCATCCCACCTTAAATCAGTTTTCAGGCCTTAAAAAGTTTTTTTTTTTACTTGTCCGTCTTTTTCTAAATTATGACTGGATTCCCGGACCCTGCTGTAGAAAAGCATTTCCACAGCATGATATTGCAACTGCAGGTATGTTCCACAACACATCTGTGCCTAAAAGACTGATCTCTGCTAATCAGAGTAACTTTAACTTGTCTGCTGTGTCTCCTAGTTGGTTTTCACAAACTTCCTTCAGGACTTCTCTTGATTCATGCATGTCTGAATAATCATAGTCAATTATGCTCTACTAGCAGTACTTATAGTACTCATGGAAAATTAGTGTCCATTACTTTTCTATGTAGAGGAGTTATTCTACGCCACCTCCAGGAAGCAATTACCTTGACTGTGCTGCACCTGCCCAGTAAACAACACACCCACTTTCTATGATTAGCAAGGATTGATGTGAGGCAGAGAACCATCATTTCTGCCCAAAGTTAAGACAAAGTGGGTATCATAGCAGCTCTGCATATTGACAGCAACTGCACTTGCGTGTGATGCGTCCACATCAAATCTTTTTAGCCAAAAATGCTTATAAGCCGAAAGTTGGACACTGGGTCAAACACAGTTCAAGATGATTTGAACTTCTGAAATGTGCATTGCCAAGTTGACTTTGGAAGACTTAAAATACTTTCTTAGTCATTTGAGAAAGACAGAGGGTCAGGAATGCTTTTGGACTGGCCGCTTATAAACTTGTGTTTTCAGAGGAAAGGATTAATGAGACATCATGCTTTAGTTTTATGTAGAAATTCGGATCTTTGTCATTATTATATAAATCCCAAGCTTTAAAATAACCCTAAAAAGCAGAAAGGGAAAAATTGCACTCCTACGCAGATGATTGTAATCACAGAAGACAAAGACTCCATAGTTACCTCCATGTGTTGTAGAAGAGGAGGGGGATGTTAAGGCCGACAGTCAGCCACTCCTGGGCACACAGGAACATTATGCAGAACAGCCCATGGATGGAGTATTCTGGCAGCACCAACTGTAGGGCAGGAGCAAATTACAGGAAGAATTACTGTACGGTTGGAGTGAAAAAGAAATACATTAACTCATAATTATTGCCTGTGGCAGATGCTCTTCTGTTCACCTTCACAGTAACACCAATAGAAAAGCCAGGTCACAACTTAGCAGTTCATGGAGTTCATGTGTGAACTTCAAACCTCTCATTAAGCACACATTTATTCACCTGACAAGACCAGGTATGGTGTGTGGGGGGTTAGTAGGCAGTGGGGTTGACCTGTTAAGTATCATTGTAAAGATAAGTGATAAAATGATATTTTTGTTTTATTCATGTAACCCACAGATTAAAAGCGCTTATTTCTTTTAGAAAACACTTAACCTACATAAGAAAATATAAAAAAAATAGAAATACCCCCACACACTCACAAAGAAATGAGTTTATGGCAGTATAAGCTGGACAACAGAGGGCGCTAAGGGGGCACAGCCCCACCCACCCAATGAGCTTGATTAAGAAAAAAAACAACAAATAAAACTTAAATTATATAATTCAAATAAATTGAAATATATTATTATACTTATTAGATGTGCAAGATAAATATTTAATCTTAAATGACAAGTAAAGCTTCTTCGTTGGATTGGTGCGCATAAATCTTTAACCATAGACTTTTTAAAAGTTGTACATGCGGAGTAGCTCCTCTGCAATGCATATGATTGAAAGTTCGAGTCGCGAAAGTTGGAGACTATCATTGGAGAGAGAGAGAAATGGTGCAAGAAAAATTCAATAAGAGAAGTCCCTTATATTAAACTTACCAGGAGGTGAAAGCATTTGGACCTCATGGGCCGAACATTAAAATTAATCAATAGTCCAAAGACAGATGGAGACGGTTCACTCAGTCCTTTTCTATGACCTGGTTTAGGTACAAGGCTTGGCTAACTGCATGCAGCAAGGCTAACACTTTATTCTGCTTTCCCTGCCTCCTTTTTCAAAAGTCAGGATCTGACCCAGCATGGATAACGACAGGTAGGACTAATTTAAAGCACTATTTAGAAAAGAAGCATGAACAATCTGGGATTCACATAGAAAATAATAGTGTACTTTTTCTAGATGTTTGTCATTTTGCATAGTTGTTCTTTAACAACCACCCTTCAGAAAATACGTTTTTATATTTTAAAAAAATATAAAGCTGACTTACAGCTTCTCCATTATTAAACTGGTACTTTATTTTCTTTTTAAACTTTTTTTTTAAGTTTGTGACACCAAAACACAGATTTGCCTTCACGCAGCCACAGAAGGACTGCGTTCTGAATTTTCTCCCAGCACCTCTTTGGATGTCTGATCTTCTATCTCTGACTACTAAGCACGTCCCTGACATCGGCTTAGGCATCAATCTCTGGATTATCCTGCCTAGTTTCGTATGCTCCACTCTGATCTCCACTGATGCATCAGTGTCTGGGACTCCCTGTGCGGCACCCGCTGCGCCGTGTTGGCAGCCAACTGGCTAGAACCAACCTCATCCACTAGGTTCAGACTGAACTATAAGACCAGGTTAGTGACTCACATGTTTATTATCATCCACTTCCAAAAAAACGTCACTAACCTGTTGTCTCCTGCAGAGCTTCCCGTCTCTGCAGGAGCTACGCTGCTCGCTTTGGTTCAGTTTTTAAAAAATGTTTTGAGAAATCAAAATGCCTACCCTCACCTATGGTCATGAAATCTGGATCATGACCGAAAGAACAAGATCCCGGATACAAGCGGCTGAAATGAGCTTTCTCTGCAGGGTGGCTGGGCTCTCCCTTAGAGATAGGGTGAGGAGCTCGGTCATTCGGGAGAGGCTCAGTGTAGAGCCGGTTCTCCTCCACATCGAGAGGAGTCAGTTGAGGTGGCTTGGACATCTTCTTTGGATGCTCCCTGGACGCCTCCCTAAGCAGGTGCTCCAGGCCCATCCCAATGGGAGGAGGCCCAGGGGACGACCCAGGACACACTGGAGAGACTATGTCTCTCGGCTGGCCT